AACATCCAGCTGAACCAAACTCAACTTGTGCCTGAAAGTGTTTGTGATGAGGTTGGCTTAAAGTTCAGTTGGAAAAACTCTGCTCTCAAAGTTTAACAGGTTATTAAACACATACAAATACAGCTTTTCCCCAACAACTGACTTCATTTGAAAATCTTTTTCCTTCGTCAACTTATCAAATGATTTCACATAAAACTTATAAATCCCATTTTATTTTTCACTGGCTAGTGAATAAAAAACTGTGGCTCTCTGGAAGAATAACAAAATTAAAATCTAAAACATACATTTGTATTCAGTTTCGTGTAACTCCCATATGAGATTCAGAATAACCAATTAGCTTAGGAAGTTCCTGAAAAAAAGAAATTCTACTTTTGTGTAATTTCTCAAATGCTTCTAAAGTTCCCAGTTAGTCTTTTATGAGTGGATAAAACATTTGCCTTCGTTCAGCCAGCTGACAGGCAGTTAACAGCACTGAGTTAAGTTTGTGAAAACAGTCTCATCATAACTTTTCTCTGACATCTTATTAAAGGTGCATGACACATTATAGGCATTTGCAAAAGAGACTCAAACCATCACATCCCCATGAAATAAGGTTATATGCACCAAACATCTGTTCCGATAGTTTTTAGATCCTTTCTGAGCCTAAATAGAATTTCAGCAGCAGGAGAAATGAGCAGATTTTAACAAACCTGGTGCCAGCTTTTGGAAGTACTATATCATTATGTCATTTTGGACTTCCATGTTTCTCTTCATGGAGTCTGCGCGAAAGGGGAAAATGTGTAACTACGCGGACGGATCCATGTGGAAAACATGGCGATACAGAATTTCCTTCTTGCAAGGGTTTGCAAATGTAAACATCGAGAGACATCCTGTGATTTAGCTCAGAAATATTACATCTATCAACAGATTGTGGAAAAACTCCAGGAAAGTAATGACTGTTGCTGTTGAACAGCATGAAGAGGCTTGCTCTTTGTGCTGAACACGCAAAAACATCAATGAAAAGGAAATTCCTGTTCCTAACAAACACCAACAGGCCAACAGCATCAAGGTAAGATCAGATTAATTATACTTTTGTTGACAGTAGAGACAAAGAATAGCATTGCTATCACTAATATCACTATCAATAAGAATGTTCCTGTTTGGCTGTGACTCCATCCTGGAGAGAAATATCAGCTGTGCTGCTGCCATAAACACCTTTGTTGATAGATGTTTGAGCTCTGCCTGTTTTTCAGTGTAGTCCTGTTTCTCTTACTGTGGCTGTGTGTGTCCTGGAAGGGGCCGCCTGTGAAGCTGGTTTACAGTTGCCTTTTGTATCTCTGCTTCTATCTCCTTAAATCCCAGTCGGCCTCAGCAGATGGCCGCTCACACTGAACCTGGTTCTGCTGGAGGTTTCTAACTGTTAAAAGGGAGTTTTTCCTCTCCACTTTCGCTACAGGCATGCTCAGCGTGAGGGATTGCATTTGAGTCAATGAGTCGATGCAATCCACTGTTTTTTTCCTTAGATAGATGTATGATCTGGTTGAATTGTCTCTGTAAACTGAATTGAACTACTGACATCCATCAAATTAGCCGCCACATCTGAGTGCCTCGGTCACTTTAGCTTCTATTTCAGAGAACGCAAACGTTCAGACTGTATTCCCAACTTATCCCTCTAAGAATCAAGATATATTTTCTCAAAACAAGATGTCTTACCAAATGCATTTGTCTTACTGACTGGCAGATTATTGCACTTATTTTTAGGTGGAATTTTCTTAAAAGCTGATATAATCTAAGACACAACAAAAAATGAAGTATAAGTAAATCCATTTCCAATAAATAGGTGTATTTTCACTTAATTTGAGCAGGTAACTACGCTGGGATTGGGTTTATCTGATTCTCTGGTTAAAGAAGGCCAGAAATGTCCATCGTTTTTCTCATATGACGGAATAAAACAGCTTCCTCATTCAGAAATGGATCCATGTGGAGCTGGACGGCCGACACAGGCTTAATGTAACTTTACCTGGGAGGCTAGAAATTCAATCAGACTGTTAGGAGACCAGAAGGCTGTACTTCAGCTCTCTGAGCTGTGCTTCCAGAGAATTAACCTGCTCTTAAAAACAACTAAAAGCATGTGTGCATAGATGACGGCAAACACTTGAAAACAAAACAGTCTGTAGAAGCTTATAAAATCTTCTTCGTCAAAGGAAAGCCTTTCCCTCTTGCAGCAGGTTGACTTGTTTGAATCACAAAGAAACACAAAGGCTTTCTAAAATCTTTGCCTCGACTTCATGAAACAAAAACAAGATTAAAATGCAAAGAAGCTCTGCCACTGAGCACGCCTTGTTATCCAGATAAGCACACAATCTTCAGTGACTTCTGACCAGCTCCAACGCTCCGTTCCCATGACCGATGAATCGGTTTGTGTGCGATCCATCTAGATGATGCGTGTTTGAGCTCCTTTTGCCGATTGAAAAGAGAGCAGTGGCAGAAATGGGACAAAGTGTGGGAGGCCAGCATAGAAGAAAAAAAGCAGGAGAGGAGAAGGCAAAGATGGCCGACTGAATGGCAGAAAGAAGGAATTGAAGCAGAAGTAAACGTCTTGCTTTGAGAAAGATTCCCTGTTTTTTGGTACTTCATCAGCGCTGACCTTCGCTTTGACCCAAAGCGAATGCTGCAGTGAGCTCTCTGCAATGGCACCGCCACCGCTGCAGACACACACACTTACACACACAGACACAGGAATGCTGCTTCTGGTATTGTCTTTAAGTACCAAACTCAGGCCAAGGCCTCGCCAGGGTTTCCAAAACAAAATAACAGCCGTGCAAATCTATCTCACACTCACACACACAAGCGCTGCTCAGATACACACCCAAACACCACTTCCGTCCATTCTCTCTCACAGTGAAAGGAAGCTGGCCGGGCCCCAGCTGTCCCGACTGAGGTGGCCTCAGTCTTCAGACTCCCCACTTTCCTCTCTGAAAGGATCTGAAAGACTCTCTGGGTATATTCTGTGACTTTTTTACTGTTTTGATAAAAAGAATCACTTCATATAAAGAGAAACAGTTTGAGCTTTATCTGTGTATATTTGTTATTTTCTGTCGAAGTGTTTTGATTCAGGACTTTTACTGTTTGTCTCATCATGAAAATAAAAATGTACAGTGAGACCCAACAGTTTTTATCAATCATCTAACATTAAATGTGTTTCTCACATGAAAATGCTCCTGAGTCCTCATTTAGTATTTTCTTTATGAAGAAAATAGGTGTCAAGTAAGCCAGATAAACTGTGAGAAAACTCCATAACTGTATAACTCCCCTAACTACATAATTTTTTTAAACATCTCATCAGTGGTGCATTAGGTCCATTACTGTTACTGTGTATACCAAGACAATAAAAGCAAAAAATGATTTCATCGTTACAAAATAGGGTTATATACACCAGGCATTGGTCCTTTTTTTAGCCTAAATTGAATTCCAGCACCGGGTGTGATGAGCAGATATAAATGTGGCGCCATCTGCTGGCAGTACCACGGCACTATCTTAACACCAGATGGCACCTACTAAATACAGCCGAATCATCCTGCAATAACTCTTAGTGAAGAAACTTTTTGGCCAATAAATATTTGTTAAATACACTGATCTACCGCAACTCCATGTTGTACTTAATCCATCCCAGAGCCTCCTGTCAGAACATCAAGATAAAAGAAAACTCTTATTCCTTATTCTATTTTCTTATTCATTTTTCTAAGGTCCACATTTATGTGACCATTTTTCTATAACCTTCTTGCTGCTGTAAACACCAGAATTTCCCCATTGTTGGACAATAAAGGGATTTTCTATTCTATTCTATTAAAAAAGGAAGACAAAGACACAGCATTAAGAAAAGATCCAATCAATCTACGAATCTATATATCCTTTTTTATATCCTTTTTACTTAAATTGTAGAGACTAAAGGGCTGGTTATCCTCGTGCAGCAGTGTGTCGCTGTGAGCTTGTTGCAGATATTTTTGATTTATTCCCAATATTGAAGCGTGCTCTGCGCTGTTATTCTACGCCACAACGCAAGAGGGACAATCATGAACTAGCTGTGGGTGTAGATACGGCCGATGCGGTGAGGAAGTGGGGGCAAGTTTGTGCGACAACGGAGGGACATGAGTGTTAAAAAGAGCGGGGATCCAGGTGGAAAAAGGGTCCCAGCGTTCTCACGCACCTCGCTCTTCTCCTACTGGTCCATCTTCATGAGTCGTTTCCCACAATGGCGGTCATACAAACAAAACACGCCAGTAACATACTGTACCAAACAAGAAATACGGATAGTGTAGATCAGATGTAGATTTGACCAATCAGAGGCCTCCTGTCTGCGGTCACCTACAATTTTGGAGAGGTGCAGCAGAGTGACTGCGGAGGGGGCGGGGCATATCTCTGTTAACTGTGACACACATGCAGACGACCTGGTTTCTGAGCATAAACCAGCCTTTAGTCAGACATCCCTCTTTGCAGTCATTTTAAAACACAACAGTGGAGAAACTCAGAGCTGCAATCTTCTGCTCAACTTTGCAACTTTTAGCATTTTGTATTAGCATTTTTAGCATTGTACATTCTTCCTGCATACATTTTTGCTTTTTCGCTATCTAAACATTAAAATCCAGACTATTCAAACAGGCCATAAATCAAGGATTGCAGCAAACTCTGTGCCACAACCCCCTAAAATTAAAGAAGCACAACATATGCAATGAAATTGATAAAAATCTGGATGCAGATATAATTAAGACTCTTACAACCTTCCCCAAACGTTCATTTAAATTACTCATCCAAGAGTCATCAAAGGTCAAAGCTCTTACCTTGGGCCATTTAGGGTTAATAAGTCGAGCTTTGATTGCATCATCCAGAGCCTTGCTGTACTGTCCAAGCCTCAGATAAGCTGCTGATCGGTTGCTGTACAGGATACAGTTTTGTGGGTCTGCTGTGAGGGCTTCAGTGTAGAGACGAACAGCCAGGGCAAACTCCCCCTGCTGGCAGGCCTGGTTACTGTGACGCACACGTTCAAGGAACTCAGCTTTGCTTAGGGTGACCGAACCAGAGGCGGAAATTCGATCTGTCCTTTTCCCGACCGTGGCTGGATGGATCCCAGGAGAAGAAGATCGAGAGGATGAGGAGGGAGGGTTGGTAGCTCTGCTTGTGGAGCGAGAGCCAAAAAGAGAGAACTGGGGAGAAGACAGGGAAGGAGGGACGTTAAGAAGTGACGTCACAATACAAAAAAAGACGGAACATATTCAGTTGTTGAACTGAGAAATAGTCAGTACTTCATAGTGAAGATACATTTTTTTATAAGACTGTTTGGACACTTTCACTTCCAGAACTGTGACATATTACCATTGAAATTGGTAAACGCCTGCAGGAATAAATTTTTAACCCTTTAGGCCATTTCTTATTAACTGCGTTGTCCTGTGTTCGTGAGACACCACCAGCCTCAGCCTCATCACTCTTCCAATGACCAAGAACACAAGAATGAGAACAGACAAAATACTACAGTAGCCTGTTGCTCTCGCCCTGCCCTCTTTACTGAGCATGCATCAGGGGAGACTTGTGCGTTACTTAGACCGACATGTCCCAGCATGCACTACTGTAGAAGCTTGCTCCCAGAGCTCAGACTATTGAGTTAAAAATAAATTTTTCTTCTGCTCTTGTTCTACAAAAGTATGTTTTCAGATCACTTGAGGTGAGAACATTATACTTTTAAGCTTTACTATATGGCACGCTGACTGATTAAGGGCGAAACTTAAACCGTGGCAACCAACAGAAACTTCGAGGCAAGCGGCAGCCAGCGCTAATGTTAGGCTGTCTGCAGTAGCCATCTTGATCATGTTTGAAGTACTGCTGGCTCTGATGGCGGTCCTTTTTTTGTTTTATTTGAGAAAACTTTCATTTGTAATATCTTTATCTGACTCTGTTAATAAAATATTAATTATTTTTCATTTAGTAGTGGAATAATGATTATTTCTAGAGACTGAGGGGAAATGCAGGTCCAGCTGAGCCATGTGTGAGGTGAGTACATTTCAGCTCAAACTGACACATATTTATTATCGTTCTCTCCAGGTACATACTTCCTCTGTTCTTGTCAAGAAAGTACTTGGCGAGACAATTTAGCCAAATAATAGCCCAACAACATTTTATTTCTCATATATTTCCATATTATCCAATTAAAAACACTTTTTATTAGCATATATGTTAATAGTAGGACCGACATTTTTGATTTTAGGGTTGTTAACCAAAACAGATCTCCCAATACAGCCTTTTCATTCCCAATGCGTTACTGATATTTGAGCTTAGCATTCCATTCCGTTCTATCCGGCGCAGGGTCACAGAGGCAGCAGTCTAATCAGAGACGCCCTTCCTGATCCACACACACCTCCTCCAGCTGCTCCGGGGGGACCCCTAGGCGACACCAGGCCAGCTCAGAGACATAGTCCCTGCAGCGTGTTATGGGCCCTCCACAATGCCTCCTCCCAATGGGACATGCCTACATCACCTCCCGAGGGAAGCGACCAGGAGCCATCTAGAACAGATGCCCAAGCCACCTCAGCTAGCACCATTTGACGTGGAGGAGCAACGACTGTACTCCGAGCTCCTCCCCGGTAACGCCCAGCCACCCTGCGAAGAAACCTCATTTCGGACGCTTGTATTTGCAATCTTGTCCTTTCCATCATTACCCAGATCTCATGACTCTAGGTGAGGGTGGGAACGTAGATTGATCAGTAAATGGACAGCTTTGCCCCCAGACTCAGCTCGCTCATCACCACGACAGTCCGATGACCGCATCACTACTAACGTCTCACCGATCTCTCTATTGATCTCACACTCAATCCGTCCCTCACTCGTGAACAAGACCCCAAATACTCCTCCGCTTGAGACATGGACTCACCTCTACGCACAGCTTGGGTTCCAGATCCCATCTCCTGGAGCTTAGCATCATCATTTTATTTTTTTGTTTGGTAGGAGTCTATCAACATCTCACATATTGATTCAATAAAACCCACCGAAAAAATAGAAAGGAAACATTCAAATGAATTAAAAGGTGACTGTTTGTTGTAATAAAACACAAACATTTGGGCACTGATACCTAATTTAAGCATATTTTTGTATCTAAACCCATCATTCAGACAACAGCCCAGTCGAAATATAATCCCTGCTTGGTCACATTGTTGGCAAAACTGCATGAATCACATAAAAAACATTATTGAATATAGAAAGTCACCCACAGATGCACCAAACTGTAGCTGCCTCATATGAACTCTATTATGCAGTGAAAAGGGGGGGAGAAACTGCTGCGTTCACTTTTCTGTTCTGCTTGATGGTAACCACTTAAATTCTTTCAGAAGACGTGGAAAAAAAAGCAGAGAAGTCAAACAGAGTTCTCTTCGTATTCCTGTCCGCCGCAGCTGCTGAAACATGGGCTTAAACGTGCACATCATGGCTGAGTTTTGACAGAGCTGCCTCTCTCTCTGATCTGGTGTTTTTAAACCTCTGAGTTTACACCAAGGCCGTCATTTTCTCTATATAAATCCCACACACACAACCTAAAGGAACCTTCCAATGCATCACCCAAAATTGCTGATGGAGAGGTTATAAAAACCTTAAGTGAAACTTAAGGCTTACTTGAAATACACCGAGAGGGTTAGATAGTCTTACATTTCTAATGTGGGAAATAACAGAAATTGCTTTGTGTAGGTTTTTATTACTTTAAACCTTTTTATCTTTCTTTACAACGTTTGAATTTGAAGAGGAAAAAAAACAAACAATTTCTCCAACCTTTGTCATCACACAGACCAAAGCCTTTATCAACTAAACAGTCTCATTTAGTTGGGTCGTCTTTATTAACGTTGCTAACCCTAACCCTTTACAGCAACTGAGTTCTCCATTTCCTTAGACAAATAAAAAAAGATGAGCAATGGACACCGGATTCCTTTCAACACAATTCTCCTCAAAGGGTGCCAGATTCTATCAGCTGCACCTTAATATATGGATTACTAAAAAAATGCATTGAATGCAATGGTGTAAATATTGGTAAGCAGAGACCACATGTGCTTAGGGTCCCATGACCTCTTAGGAGTCCCACCACTAACACCTGGTGGGCCTTCTACGCAATTGTAGACTAGGATGTATCTTTGTGGATTTAATGGAGCGAAAAATTCCTCTTAAACCCGCCTGATACTGAAGTAACTGACCGCACCGGACCTTATTTATACCGCAACACATCGCTGATTTCAACAGGATGGTGAGCCGTTTGCACCAATAGCAAAGCAAACCGTGGTATAATATATAATATGTTTTAAACCGCAATTGAAGACTATGCGAGGTGGTGTTTTTTTTTAATGTATAATGTAAAAATGTATGTGTGTGTATATATATATATATATATATATATATATATATATATATATATATATATATA